GCTTGTGGGATGGCATGCTGGCAAAAACAATACAAAGACTACAGTAGTATCCACAGTTGGCCCAGCAGTACCAGTGAACAGATGCACAGGTACTTGAGATGTACATCTTCAGAAACTAAGTGACTGACTGTTTTCTGTCTATCACTGACTGCCAAGTTCTTCCGGAGTGGTGCTGCTGCAGTTGTGAATAATTCAGTTTCACTGCAGCTCATCATGGCTTCTGCAAAGAGAATTGGGAAAAAGGAGAGAAATGAGAGAGGCAGATAAACTTTCTCTGCTGTTATTTTTGTAGTAGTTTGTGATACTGCGCGGTCGCGGTCAAATCTTGAATTGAATTCAGTGGAGTTGAATCCAAATGAATCCAGTCGAAGCGAAGTGAGGGGAATTGAGGCTAATTAAGGCAGGGAGTAGCACAGAAGGAGTGATGGAGGCAGCCAAGTTGGGACTGGGAAGAAAAGGGAGATACAGGGGAACAAAGTAATAAAAGAAGAAGAAGGAGAAAAAAGATAGAAAGAGGAGAGCCAATGCTGACGTGCAAATCGCCTGCCCAGCGAGAGCCTGGACTAATTATCACTCTAGGGCTGCTCTGTTCTCCCACACACAGCATAACGCCACGGTAGCAGGCTAATGTAGGGCTGAACCGTATCCACTCTGCTCTGAGACTGATGTGTGAAATACAGCCCAGGACCATCTCCATTATCACTTCAGTTTCATTCTCACTGGGGAACATGGACCTGTGGGGCATCTGTGTATGGGCTGTAGCACAAAGGCTTTATGGGTTTGGAAATTTACAGTGAATTGAAAAAAAAAGTTATAAAAGTTCTTGTATTTATCGCTATGTAATCACTATGTTTAAGTCCTGTCTTTGGTATATAAATCTAAGGTAGCATTTTCATGGCAGTCCTGCATTTGCTATTGTCCTGATTCAAAGACATGTCCAAGATTTGACTGTTTGGGAAGCTCCCAAAGGGTCCAAGCACAAATAAGGTTTACTAACCCAAATTAATCAATTGAATGACTTTTGCATTTTTATTAATTTTAACTGGATTAATTTGTGGCAAGTAATGTTGCTTCACCATAAGAAGGCTGCGGGATTGAATAAACCTTTATCCCTGGCTCTTCCAGTCTGAATTTGTGCATAGACTCAGCAGACACTTTGGTGATTGCATTCATTTATTCATTTATTTGAGTATTTGCATAAATGGGAAGTTGAACAGCAACCGATAAATGTATTTCATGTGTTTGCCTTGCACGGTGGGATAGTCTCTTCCTCCTTGTGACCCTAAAATGAAAGAAATTGCAAAAAATGAAGAAAACTTACAGAAAAAACACGGCTTTGTCTCTTTGTTAGCTGTTAGCTTGAACATTTCTGCCCTGTGTTAAATTGCAACATAAGTCCTCCATTAGAGGAAGTTTTTTCCATCATTGCCCAAAAGGCCGAGCAATCATCCTGTACCACATAAAGTCGATGGTAGCAGCTTTTCTGTGACTTGGCACGAAAACACAAAAGCGGTTACAGTGTCCCCAGTTGCAAGATGAAAAATGGCTATGTCACCAAACTCTGAAGATGCTCTTTTAAATTTTGCTGCAGTGACAAACTCAGCATCTGTTTGGTGTTCCTCATAACGCTCTCCTCCCACTATGTCTCTCTTCCTCTCTGGTTTCCTCCAATACACAGGATTTAATGTCTAAGCCTCCAGTCAAGCCTCACAGTGTCACAGTAAAACACTGCTGCTGTTTCTTAATATTCCATTTTTATGCACCTTGCAGTGACATATACAACACCTCTCCTTAAGGCAAAACTCCCTAAGTCTTATATGAAATTCAGTTTCTCGCTGTAAGTGGGGTGTTTCTGTTTGACCAGCGGTGACTCAGTGTTAAAGCTGTCCCAGGTTCTGTCTCTTTGTGTTGCTGTGAAGCATGCTTTAACCTGAGAATTCAGATTATATTTGATCTATATATTTTTTAAGCTACCCAAAACTTTCAGCACATAGCTTCTGAGGGTTGGTACTATCTTCCTTGATCATTTTTTGATCATATAATCATGTTCATGACCAATAAGATACAGAACGTGTTGCAGCGCAGTCCTTGGCTACAGCTATAGCTTTATAGTAGCTGCTGTTTTGATACAGTATTTTGTACATGCTCAGTAGTTCTGCTTTATAAAGTACTTTCACTTAAAGGAATACATTTATTCAAGATCAATACAGCTTTCATATCTGTTCATTAAATATAAGTCAGCAGTCAGTGAGCTTGGATTAGAACAAAGACTGAGCAGCTAGCCTTGTAGCAGTGACTCCCCAGAGTTTCTTTTTAGCCTGGCAACTGCACAAAAGCCTTAAAGATCTCTGAGCTATAGATTTTTTTCACTCTTTTTTTTCTTTCTTTTTTAGTTGGTAAGAATTAAATGATATATGACATATTAATTATTGAGCTTTAGAGGTGCTGGTGTTTGGGGTTCTTTACCTCCTGAAAGATTCAGACAGAGCTAGCTGATTCTCGCTGTTTCCATTTTTCGTGCTAATCTATGCTCACCAAGTGTGCAAGGCATGACTCATGGATTCCCTGTGCTCAGCTGGATGGCCCCTCCGTTTGACATTCCTTTGAAATCCACTCTTGTTTTTGGTAGACGAGTTGTGACCAGCATATTTATGATTTGAACTGTCTTGATTGCTGCTGTAACATGTTGTGACATGACATGACACATGATATCCTTTTGTCTTCTTTGTTCTGTCATTTATACTTCAGTTCTTTAGATTAAAGTGAATGCCAATCCATATGTATATGCACACTAATGAAAGAACAGCCTTGCACGGGGCTCAGCATGGCTCGGGTGTGTCCGTGTGTGTTACTGCAGGACTTGTGCAGAGCAGTGCATCCTTTTGTAAAAAAGGACACAATGGTGTGATGTTGCTCTTGTTATTTTGGTCACGGAGACACGAGGCAAAGATTGCTGAACTACATTTACCCACACCGTCATTATTCCAGCTGATGGTTGGGCAGCTGTGGAGCCATCACAGGGCCTTCTCGGAACATCATGGCACGCACCCATAACCCCTAAATATGATTGATGGGAATGTGGGAGTGTGTGGATTATATGAAGCCAGTAAAAAAATCAAGAATAAAACCAGGCATGCCACTGTTGTCTATGAGGACACTTGGCTGCAGCCTTGGAATTGTCTGCTGCTTTGTAATGTAGCCGCAGGCCAGTGGGCAGGGAATCCTGCCAAGATGAAGTCAGTGATTGTATCCGGAACAGCCTCCATGGACCAATGTCCTTTGGCGGTCAATGAGCTCACTTTGTGTTTCAATCAAAATTAGGCAATTTGGATGGAAGGCATTCACGCATCAAGCATGCAGCTTGTTTTGTCCTCTCAGCTGGAAAAGTATAAACCAGGAGTCAGGCAGACATGCACCTAATATGTGCTTTAATAACAGAAGTTTGAAAGAAAAAAAAGAAAAGAAAAATCCGCTCTTCACTCCACTGTGCGATCACTGGGAGTTTTTATCTTGACAACTATCAAAATTACATTTCATCCTCAATCATTATTTGAGGCTTTTTAGCTATGGGGGGAAAAGCAGGGTGCTGCAGCATTAAGAAGAAAATCTGGGATATTTTTTAAAGCCTTCGCAGTGAGCTCGAGGGTTTTGCACATCTCTGCTTTAACGGCATAGCGCATTTGAAGAAGGGCAATTGAGGTCTGCTACTTGTTTTCAGGAGTTCAGACACAGTTACAGACAAGGCGGCAACGTTTCTTTAAAAAAAAAGTGCTTTGTTTAAAACGCTCGAGTCAACAGCCGAGCTCTGTCGCAGTTTATTTTAATGCTTGTTTGTTTTCCCATATCCAATATAGTCATCTATACTGGAAGTAAAATTATCTGTTTTATGCAAGTGTGATCTGGAGAGAGTGTTCGCATGCAAAACAGTTGTAAAAGTAGCCTCTGGGCCTGCTCTGTGCACAGCTTGATTTCCTCAGTGTGGATGGAGACACTGCTTGAGCAGACACACTCTTTTGGATTGGATTAAGGCGTAGTGAGTAAGTCGGGGGAAGCTGCAGGTAAAAAAAAAAAAAAATGCAGACAACGAAATACATTTTCATAACCACAGTATCGGAAGAAAGAGGGATTTGGGAGGGAGGGAGCGAGAGTTACAGGAAATGGGACATTGAGATGGAGAGAGCCGGCGAGCAGGAGGGGGCCTGAAAGAATAGAGTTTTGTCGGAAAGCTCAGCATCCGTTTCGCAGGCTCGAGGCTGTAAGTTGTCATTTAAAACATTTTCTCTGCAACAGCCGGGATGATTTCCTCCCCCTCTGCAGTCTGTGCTGCTCTGTGCAGTCCACTGTAGATTCAGTGGGAAGCGGTGACTGTCGGGCGGCGAGCATTTTCACAGTCACATAAAAGATTCTTAAAGCGTTTTCAAGGAAGGTGTGCGCTGAAAATGCGATTTTAGTTGCTTCACGGCACGTGTCTTTGTCTATCTCCCCGTTTATCCCCGAGCAAACATGCATTTCCACGAGTTACACAACAATAAACAGAAATCCCTCCTTTTTTTTTGCAACTCGAGCTTTTAAAAACAGCAGTTTCATCAGCGCCACTGTACTTCGCCGCTCTCACTACATGTTTTCCTTTGTAGGAATGATTTGTTATTACTCACTTTAATTGGTTGGATTAAAATCAATTCCCTTCATGAACAGCAAGGTTTCATAAATCACCCAGCAACATAGTTTTGTAGTAAAGCTGATGTATCGCATCTATTCAGCCGGTCAGCAATCGATCATGAAAATGCCCATGAATCTTCTTGACAGGTTAAATGGTATTTACTCTGCAAAAAGTGAAGTGCCGACTAACTGGCTCGCTGCAACTCTGTGTGATACCCTTGACCTTTATGTGTTTGCTGCGGCGGTAGCCTCTTAAATTATCAATGAGGGAAGCATTGAACTGTGGTTAGGTGGACAGAATGCAAAAGAAGTCCTCGGTGTATTTCCGTTAGCGTTTGATCTCGAAGTTTTCATAATGATGAGTTTGAAAAGACACGATATAAGTTGCAGGAAACTGATTAGCAGACACACTTGTGATTATTACTCATTTTTGTGATTTATTGGCTCCTAAATGGAAGGATAAAATAGGCTTAGTGTTCTAAATGGAAGTCACCTTGGACAAGAACATCAGCAAAGCCAGTAAATGGCAGTAATGATAAGCAGTTGCGCTATAAGCTTATTAATGTGGTCAGGCCGGTCTTTCTAATCCCTCACTCTTTTACATTAGATAACAGACTGCGAATAAATTCTGTCACCTTTTCCACTTCAAATCCCAGACATCTCTCTTTGTGTCTGCTCGATAATCATTGTTCTGAGTGCGGGAGTTGATTGGTGCCGTCTGTTTCCTTTGCGTTTTTACACTGAGAAGGCAAAAGCGCGTTACAGAGATGAAGCACGGATACTTTGCAAACAGTGTCTCTGTTTCTGCGGTCACACACTCCAGAAAGAAACCTGTCTTGCCACGGCTGTTAGATCATGCTAGCACTGTATGACAAATGGGTCAGAAATGTTTAGTAAGCACTTTCACTGTGTTTCTGTCTCACTGCAAAGCAGAGGCTGCACAGACAGACAGACAGACAGACGAGTCCCACTTTTACCGAAGCTCTTATTTCTCTGCTATATCTTTACGTAATATGTTCCTCGTTGCTCACGAAAGGTTAATATATGCCTGTGTAATACTCTGCTACTTGCTGAATAGCAGAGCTCACAAGGCGGCCACACAGTGTCCGAAAGTGCAACAGGTTGAGCTCTTTTACGTCAGCCTGTGCCTCCATGCACATTTTCTCTTAATAAGTGTTTCATGTAATGACAGGCTTCTAAGATTTTTTTGTACTAACGATTATCCCTGGCCTTTCTCTTCCACAGCTCCCATCAACCCTCACCTGAGTAAGTAATGTGCACCTCACTTAGCATGTCTCATCAGACAGAGTGCTCCTTCTGACACAACACCGGCTGTGAAAACAGTGGGGATACTCCAAGTAACTGTCTCGTCTATAGAGAGCCGACTTAAATAATCAGTATTGAACCGGAAGATGTTTTTAAACGACTCTAAAACGGGAGTAAATGAGCAATGATTGAGCAAGGCTTGCCTTTAGAAAAGGGCAGGCTTGCGTCAGGATATTTGACATTGTGCATTTTGGACACGGCGTTTGCACGAGATGTTGGATGTCGTTTGGTGTATCTGTGTGTGTGTGTGGGTTTATTTGCACCTTCTGTGCTCTGTGAGCATTAATTATGCATGCATTTGTGCCATAGCTGTTTATATTCTTTAATGTTTAGCTTCATTTATGACGCATTGTTTCATTGTTGCAACTTTACAAATTCACATTATTCATGCCTTGAGAATCCAGACTTAATCATTGCTTGCTGTGCGGCAGTGTGCTGCCTTGTATCGGGGTTTATTTATTTTTATAGATATATATTTTGGTGGGTGTTCACAGAAACATTGCCAACATAATAGCAAACATCCTAATCACCAACATCATTATCCAAATCCCTCCAGGAAACTATCTTACCTGCATGCCTCCTTCCTCTGCCTATCCTCCAAATCCTCCTATCTCTCTGAGGCGCACGAGGCGAAAACATTTAGTTTAGCTCGCCGCGGACAGGGACGTTAATGTCTAGCACCAGGAGCTAGACCTCCATTTAAATCTGCATGCTCATGAGGAGAAGAGTCAAGAGTGCCTCGAACGCGGCCCCTCGCTGCACTTTTCCCTCTCCACCACCTCTTCTTCTCTCGCTCGAGCTCATTCTCTCGCTCTCTCTCTGCCTCGCAGCATCACTGCCCTCTTCTATCCGCCGGCCCATCCACCCACACCACACCTCTACGTCTGTGTTACCTCCATTACCTGAGTAAAAGCTGCAGATCCCGCTCCTCTCAAGGTCACCACTCCAAACTGCTCCCAGCTACGTTTTAATAAATCAATGAATATTTATCAGAGCACATGCCTGCATCCTGAATCTAAATGCTGTGTTTTTTGCTATCTCTTTGAGGACACCGCTTAGCGCCGCCAAGTCCTCTGGTCAGGTGCTTTTTGCATCGTTTGTTTGTTTGTTTTTCTCTCTTCTTTTCGACAGAGTTGATCCAGCCACTACCCCTTCATTAAACTGAGTGCATGGGGATTTGCACTCATCATCGCAGTCGATTCACTTATACGTTCCCTTTCATGTGACCAATAACAACGTCGTTCCACACTCTTTCAGTCCTTCCACTTGTTTTGAACTTGTTGTCACGGGTGGGGGGGGACTTAATATCTTCACCTGCACACCTACTACAGAGAAGATGGAAGCTGATAGAAAAGGTGGTGTCAGGTTTAAAGAAATGATTACACCGTCTCACTGGTTAGAGGATATGAAACATTGGAGAACAATCACCCCGTTTTTCTTTTAAACCTGTTAAAAAGGGGGGATGTCGGGGATTGTTCAAAATCACAAGAGGCTCAGATAAAAGTTTTCTACTGTGCCAAACCTCACAAAATTATGTTTTAACAGGAGATTTGTATTAAGTTTGAAATTATTTACTGTGCTGTGGCTGCGTTTATTGAATGTCATCCATCATGCTTCGGTAGTGGGCTGCCTGATAGTCGCACACACAAACCGCCTTTGGGTGTTTCTTCAGTGGCGCACTCTGTCTTCATAGACTCTGGTTAAGTAGCAAACAGAACTGCATGTCGTAGTCAAGAAAAAAAGGAAAAACACATTCAATGGCACCTCCCTCACAGTCAGTGAGAGGTCACATCTTAATATAGAAATTCTTTTCACCAGATTGCATGATGTAATTAGGACTCGGGTTGGTCTATGTATCCCCCCGAGACACATGCACACACGCACACACGCCGCAGGAAATGTCACAGATATACAGTAGGTGTCGCGCTACTCAAGACATAGCAGTGTGCTGTAACTTCTCGCTCTTCTGAAACGACGTGCTCTGTCATTCACAAGGAGAGTTCCACTGCAGCTTTGAGGAGGAGCCCATCTGCATGTTCACCCAGGACAAGAATGATGATTTTGACTGGACGCGACACAGTGCAGCCACACGCGACACCAAGTACACGCCCAACACTGGCCCTAGTGGTGATCACAGTGGCTCCAAGCAAGGTAAGGAGCTCAAACTTCCCCCCTTGACATGTCCAAGCAGCGACTAGCCAATCATTGCTTATCCCTAGTAAAAGTATTGCATATTTATTTTAGCTAGTGGCTGAGTCTTCTTTTTTTATTAATGGAGGAGATTATTCTCATTGTCTTACTTTGCTAATATGATGTTCTGCCCTTGAGAGATAAATTGATAAATAATTAACCTCTAAAGAAATATTCAAGGCGTGTGCTAATTGCAACTGGCAGGTTGAGTTGTCCCACATCACGCACATTCCATGATTTTTTTTCTTTGACAAAATACGTCAGTGATTAAATGTCAGTGAAGCTGTCTTTAGTTGAAATGACCCATCAATTGGAGTTGAGGCAAGGCAAGGCAAGTTTATTTATGTGAAACAATGTGGCTGTAGCTCAGGAGGTAGAGCAGGTCACCTACTGATCGGAAGGTCAGTGGTTCGATCCCTGGCTCCTCCAGTCTGCATGTCAAGTATCCTTGGGCAAGATACTAACCCCAACTTGCTCTCCGATGCATCCATCGGAGTATGAATGTGTATGAATGTCGCTAGAAAGCACTAAGTGTAGATAAAGTGCTTGTGAGAATGGGTGTGATTGGGTGAATGAGGTATGTTGTATAGAGTGCTTTGAGTACTCCGCTATATAAGAATCAGTCCATTTACCATTCAGTCCAAAAACAAATAAAAAGCATGATTTAAAATTGATTAAAACTAGCTAACTAACTAACAAACAAAACAGTATATAAAATCAAAAATCAAAACAGATAAAATCAGAACAGTAGATAAAATCAGTAGTTAAAATGTAAGTTTTGAAATTTAAGCTTAAGTGCGGATTTGGTGCTTTATTTAAATGCAGCTGAGAATAGGTGAGTCTTCAACCTGGATTTAAATAAACTGAGTGTTTCAGCTGATCTGAGGCTTTCTGGGAGTTTGTACCAGATATAAGGAGCATAAAAGCTGAATGCAGCTTCTCCGTGTCTGGTTCTGACTCTGGGAACTGATAAAAGACCGGATCCAGATGACCTGAGGGATCTGGAAGGTTCATACTGGGTCAGGAGGTCACTGATGTATTTTGGTCCTAAACCATTCAGAGCTTTATAGACCAGCATCAGAACTTTAAAGTCTATCCTCTTACGGACAGGCAGCCAGTGTAAAGACCTCAGAGCTGGATTGATGTGGTCCACTTTTTTGGTCTTAGTGAGGACTCGAGCAGCAGAGTTCTGAATGAGCTGTAGTTGTCTGACTGATTTTTTTAGGTAGAACAGTAAAGATGCTGTTACAGTAATCAAGCCTACTAAAGATGAATGCATGGACTAGTTTTTCCAGGTCCTGTTGAGAGATCAGATCTTTTATCCTTTATCCTTAAAAGGTTGAACTATTAGTCATCTTTAAGAATTGGAGCAAAAATGTATGTGTGGTTAAGTTTCCCGACCGTATCATGGCATGTTTTATGCCCCATCTGTTTGTTCATTCATAGGATGTAAGCAGAGGTATCCTTCATCTGATTGCATAGGCCCTTAGGTCACCGAGTCCTTCAGATTGCCCATTTTGTCTGGTTCAAAACCGAAATGATCCCAGTTAGGTGATTATGTATTCTTTTTCTCAAAATACTCTTCCATGATTGCATTTGCTGGAAATGGTTCATTGAGAGTGGGAGAACTCCGGAAATCTGCACACGTGCGCACAATCCTTATTGCCAGTTGTTACACTCACAGTGGCTGGTTGGAAGTTTTTAACACATCGCCCAAGCAAGTGGAGTCTTTCTTATCTCCTGAAAAACACAAGGTAAAGATAATAATCATAATAAATGGATGAATCGGTGCATTTACAAATACATAAACTGTAAAACAGTACGTCGCTGTTTTAATGGCCTGCTGTTTAGCACAATCTGCCTGTGCGTTAGCCCTCCCTAGAGGTCAGACAAGATATCAATGAGGCGGTACATTGTATTGGCTTCCTTTTGCGATATAATATCAATGCAGTGGAAAGAAATATTGATAGTTTTATTAAAACATAAAATGCAGGCGTTGTGACCCTGTCCCCACCAATTCAATTAGCAGAGCAATTATGTCATTACTCCTCCATATCAAGAGGGAGCAATGTGAACATAAGTGATCTAAGTTACTTTGAAAAAGCAAAAAAAATCGTAGGGAAAAAATGGTGGTAAGTTAACACCCTAGTAAATACATACATGTGTTTTTTGGGTCCATTCTGAGCATATTTTTTACCTTCAGTTATAGAGATGTGGTGATATATCATAGATGAGCTTACAATGTATATTGATCGCCACGTCGCTGTAATGCAATCGGGGTCATTATCATGTATGATAAGAGTGTCTTTGCCAAGCACTCATTGTTTCTCTTCTCTGAATAAATGTTACAGGCTACAATTACAGTGGACACTGTAGCAGAAAAACAGTGTTGGGGAGTAACGGAATACATGTACCGCCGTTACGTATTTAAAATACAAAATATGAGTAACTGTATTCAGTTACAGTTACCGTTTAAAAAGGTGGTATTTAGAATACAGTTACTTTGTTGAAATAAATGGATTACACGGCGGTACTTCCCT